TAAAAGTAAGTAAGGTTTCACGACAACAGGTATCCAAAAGGACTGAAAATGCCTGCTGAGGGCTACCCGGTGCGCCCATTGATGGCGCAAGTGCCCCGATGACAGGTAGTTGTGCAATATCCACGCAAACGCGCGAGTGTAGCAAATATGTCTTCAGGCAGGGATGAGTACCCGTCAGTCATGAAAAGAGTTACAGGGCAGATCAACTCGGTGAATGTTGGTTGTTATAAAAAAAAACTTCCCACCGTCGTTTTGCAGATTATGGTCGTACTACTAAAGCTACGGACTTTGTTGGTACCACATCTCTGCCAGTCTCAATGGTAATTCATGACCTATGCTGTGGACTGGGACCAAAAAAGCCAGCATTAGTTCTGACAGAAACACCAACAATACCTCTTGGTTATATCTACTGTCCGGTGAGCCCCCCACAAAAAGTTAGTGACAAGAAACGAGTAACATGTCTTTAGACGTTAAGAGGTTTAGTTGAACAAAACTGAGGAGGACATATCACCGTCATTATGTCCGTACACCGTTGTAGACGACCGATATCACACCGTAGAACTACAAGCGAATGAAAATATTCAGGTAAGTTCAGAAATCTGTATTGAAAAGAGCATTAGAAGAAGGTAAAAGCCTAATGTATTACGCCCTTAGACCGCTGTAAACTTCTAGATCAAAGGTTACTTTGCACTGGTACTGCTTAAAGCCATACAAGACACAAACGGCCCTATATTCTACATAAAACAAAACTTTTGACAACTAGATTTTTATATAATCAGTGAGTAGAGTCGCACAAGACTCGAAGAACCAACAGAATAAAGTCGGAAAGTAGTACGGAGGACATATAGCGACTACTTAATTTGTGCACTTGCAGTGGCACACCGCAATAAAACCGGAACTAAGAATCGTTCCGGCGAGCCACTGTAAGTTCACAGATTTCCATGCTGGAACTCTCACCTCCGCGAATTTGAACTACTTAATGTTTGGTTTTTCCGATTCATTACCTCGACCTAGACTCTATGGTCAGTGTGCATAGAATCAAACAACTGAGTAGGCTATAGTAGCCAGGACGTGAGCTCGCCCAAAAGTAACCTCTATTGCTGAAGGTGGGTTGTGGACAGGAAAGAAGAATGCAGGCTGCTGTAAAGGCGGCATCTCAATCGACTAAACCGAACGCTGAGGACTGTCAACAAGAAAGTTGCTTAATAGCATATAAACGGTCATCATTAGCGTATGCGGACGAGTCTAAATAAGGATTGTAGAAAAACGACAGTACTCGGTCTTACTGTTCATGATCACCGTCTCAGCGATATCGTCAGCATTGTGTCCGGTGCAGATTTTATTGGCTTTTATTAACATGGCGCCCCGATCGAGTGCCTGCCGTCGAAAGACACCACAAAATGTGCCTAATGTAGGAATATGTCTTTAGAAAAAAAACTGCCTACAATTGTTTCTCAAGCCGGTTTTCTTCACGATTTCATCCATCGACCATCCGTAGAGGGTCTAAAAACTGAACAGTATGATACAAAACTAAGATCTACCTTGTATGAGAGGATCTCTAGGGGGAGGGCGTACTGGATTTTGTTTCTTTTTACAGTCTAGCAAAAGTAATGAATTAGAGCGTTCGCCTACTTCGAGAGAGTCATCTCGATAGCCTTGAATACCCTCGTCAATGGATAGCAGAACCAGTTCGACTCCATAGTCATGTCGTTCATTTAAAAGTTTCATTACGTATGCTAGGACGGTGGAATCTAAGGAGGTGATCAAAATGAGGCCTGTGGTACCTTTTCCACCAGAAGCACCGATAGCTACTTTATCGCCTCTCTTTAAGAGGTTTGCTGTCTTGATGGTCCAGTGTATATCCTCTTCAAAACACCAGAGAAAGCAATCGCGGCATAAAATATCACCCTAACTGATAAGAGCACATAAAAAGGACGCCTACCGTTTTGGGGCGCTTTATAAACCCTTTGTTACCGCATCGGATACAATGCAACATATTCAGCAGAGAATCCCAAAGTATGGCTGACCTGTTGGAGAAGAAACAAAATCCCACTGTTAAGTAAAAACAAACGCGGAGAAATTAAATATGGAAAAAAGAACGACTGACACGTGACAGGTGTTTTTATTTAGCTTCTGGTGCATTTTAAAGTACTTTGTGGGTATTTTAAAAGATTACTTCGAGCTTAAAAGAACAGGAGTGGTGCGGCCCTCGAACTGTTCTAGGTCAGGTTTCAATAGAAAATCTTAGGTCTACCTACCGTCAGAAAAAGACTCTTGACTAATGGCAGTCATACAGCAGACTGAGCAGGCAATTCACAACCGAAAACATTTGTTAGCAGCCATAGAAAACGAGGAGTCTTTACTTGCGGACCTTCTGATTTGGTTAACCTGACATAACGCGATACAAAAGATTGGATAAATTAAAAACGTTGGTTTTACTGGCCGAAAACACGAAAAATCAAAAACAAACACCCAGAACATAGAACAAAGTAGCTAAAGCCGTCACCAGCAGTTGAAAGCGCAGAAGGAGCTATTAAAAGGGAAAGAAAACAAAAAGCACAAGAGCCGCATCGAATCATTTTTTTT